TGGAACTTGAGGCAAGAATCAGAAGAGACCTTGGTATCTGAGAAAGACCATGGCCATCCAGGATTCTGCTGGAAGTTAGACCATCTAAAGGGGGATCCCACAAAACTGCAGACCAGACTGGTGGGAACTGATAGCCTATCTAAGCCCCTTATAGCACTAATTCATTAGAAATAGTACAGATTGACTGGACTTGAGTTAACCTAAAGGTAACACAGGCTGCCTATATGAGGAAGATGGCTGTGGGTAGAGAAAAAAATGCTGAAGCTTGGTTGATAGGTAGACATGTATGACATACTGACCTCAGCAGAAGGTGAATGCTAAGGCGATATAGCCCCCATGCAGGATGTTAGCAGTAGTGAAGTGAAATCAGCCCAAAGAGCTTCAAGATCTGAAGACAGGGGCTGGAGTTGTAACTTGGTGGTAGAATGCTTGCCTTGCATGTGTGAGACATTGGGTTTGATTCTCAGCACCACATATAAATAAATAAAGGTCCATTAAACAACTTAACAAAAAATCTGAAGAGACAGATGGCTTGTGTCTCAATCTTGGCACAGAGAACTTGGAAAGAATGAAACTGGAAGATGGTGACAAGCAGGCTGAGAGAGGAGTACATACATAAAAATGGGTTTCCTAACACAGGCTATGTCCCATGTCAAAGTTTACCACAGGCTTCCATTGCAGGGAATCAGATGTTGTCTGAGGCTGTGGACCAACTGGTCAAATCATGGCCCACAATGTGTGCCCATCAGCTCTCATCCTGGAAGCTACCTTGGGCACCTGAAAGCAGAGACTCCACTGTGCTCTAACCAGAATCAGTGCCCCATGTTACCAGCTGAGGAGGAGGCCATGGCTCTCAGGGTTTGAGTGCCCTGGGGGGGCTGGGTACAGGGCACCACCTCTGCTTGCCTCTTCACAGCTGTTTTCCTCACCTAGAAACATGAGGGTCTGCCCATATTCCTTAGTCTCCATGAATTCTTGGGGATCCCAAAGCCTTCTAGAAGTTAAGGGTCATGGAAAGAAGCTGGGTTTGGTTCTTTTTCCTCTTAAGGTATCTAAAGTTCATGCAAATAGCAGCAAAGGGGAAGCAACTCTATCTGGGAGAAATGTGTCTTTGTCTTTATGTGACATGTAGCTTTAGGGCCTGAACTGGGCTATGGATCTACCTGCTCACCTTATTCAACTTTCTGAATCTTTTTAAAAAATTTATTCTGGTTTGTTATACTTAATGGCAGAATGCAATTCATTTCATATTACACTTATAGAGCACAATTTTTGAAGACACTGATTGTACACAAAGTATCTTATAATATTCAACTTATTGGGTTGCAAATTGTAAACTCAAAATCCTAGTTATTCCATAAGAGTCAAGTTCTGTTTACAAATCTTAATACTCTATGAACAAATCTGGCAGATTCTCTATTCACCTTAAAAGGAGATTTCCTTCTCAGTTAATTAAAATTATTTTAAATGTTTCAAATTCAATGAACTCAAACATGACATGGTTTCAAATACTTAAAATTCTAACTATATACATGTTATTTCTAAATTTTCTTGAAGTTAAAGATTTTTTTCCCCCCAAAAGGAAAACAACATGTCAAGCTAGACAGTTTTAGAACCACCTGCCCAAAGGATAATGGAGGGTTGGGAGTGGGGAGGAAAGCTGGTACTATGTTCCATCATTACTTCATTTTCAAATTGAATTAAAACCACAAATTCCTTCCCAGGTGACTATACAGCTAACTTGACTTTGCACTTTTTTTGGCTCTTAAAATGATTATTTTCCATCTCATTCCAAAAAACAAAAACAAAAACAAACTTTCTTCATTTTCATCCTGTTTGCTAGGAATACACAATTCTTACAAATATTAAAATGATATGATATTCAATAAATGTTATTAAATATAAAAAAAAAAATCCTACAATTTTCTGAATCTTGATCACCTGTATCCCTGGCACCCATAAGGCTTGGTCCAAGGGCTTGACAAGCCACATGAACTCAAAAAGCCTTAGTCAACCAAGCCTCCCCTCCAGCACCAATTCTGAGTGGCCCAAGAATACTGGGCATGCCAGGGCAGATGTAGGTCACTCAAATCACAGGTGGAGAGCAACTAGGAGAAATGCAGTCATGGACATGCCACACCTAGCCAGCAAAGCCCAGGATTAAGCAAAAGGAGACCCATAGCTAATGGTTAATTTGTAGCTCAGGTACCAGGTGTTACCTACTCTTAGCCAGTAGTGTCTAAAGCTCCAAATCAGGGACCAATAAACTTTTTCTGTAAAAAGTTATAATATTTTAGTTTTGCAAGTCATTCAGTAACTATTCCAACTCTTCATCTCTATCATTGTAGTAGCACAATAGTAGTAAAAGAATAGACAAGGTTGTGTTCCAATAACACTTTATTTACAGGCAGGAGGCCACACTTGGCTCAAGGACTGTAACTTGCCAACTACTGTCCTTGATGTTAGGAGATGGTCTGGCTGCCCAAGATAACTGTCACCCAGTCCAACCCTCTGTGAAATGGAAAACATTCGACAGTCTGGTACAGTCCTAAGGTTGTACTTGAGGAAGAACAGGTTACTGTGGTTGAGAATTTCTGACCAAGTGGTGGGTGCAGAGACCAGATGTGAGGGTGGTCCTGGAAAAGTCTAAAAGCTTTCCTCCTTGGAAACACAACTGCTTCATTCTAGATCAGGCCCAGCCCTCCTACCCCCATACATACTCTGTCCCTGATAGGAACTGTCCTTATTGGCCCACTAGGAGCCCCTGTGCTGAGGTCTGACCACCAGACCCTCTTTGGTGATGGCCCAGTTGTAGTCCTTTGGAGAGTCCAAAGCTTCTTCTATCCGGGCCTCCAGATTCTCTTGGGTGATGAAATTTTTAGCCTCCTCCTATTGGGAGAGAAAAGGCCAGCTGCATGGGAGCCCTGCCCATGCGGACAGCCTGGGAAGCCTGCTGGCCTTTAGCCCACCTAGGGAGAGGCTCCAAGCTCTCCCTAGGAAACCATACCTGGAGCCCAGGGCCTATTTGAGTGCCGCACTGACATTCCAGTGGAATAATGTCAGACAGCCTTGGTCATATTCCTCTTTCTTAGACAATCCTCCTGGGTCACAGCCAGAACTTCAAGCACCACCTGTGATAACCTCTGTGTCCCAAGGGGTGGATTCAGTTCCTTGATGCTACCTGGTTATTCTCACAAATTCGGTACTTTCTGCCCTATTTAATTCAAGTCTCATCCACTGCCTCTGGATTATGCCTCACTGGTCTTACATGCCATTCTCAGCTTAGCATAGTAAATCTTTATGACTTTATCAACTGCAAGGTCAAACACACCTTCCTTGTGTGCCCGAGCTACCACCTGCCATAAGCTTGTACACTTTCCCAATTCCACTCCCATCTCCTTCACTCTTGGTGCTTCACAGGCATTCCCCTTGGGCCCCTTCTCTCAGATCCCTCTGGTAACTGAGTCTGCATGCCCAGGAGCCCCAGCGCCTCCGGAGCCGTGGCCCACCTGCAGCTGTAGCACCTCTTGCTCCTTGAGCTGCATCCAAGCCTGCTCTTCTCGGGTGCGGCGGGCCCGTTCCTCGGCCTGCCGCTGCTCCTGCTCCTGCGCCTCCAGCCGCAGTCTCGCTAACCTGCGAGGGGCAAGAGGCCGAGGCTGAGCGGGGTCCAGCTAGGCCAGGGCACCCGGCCTCGGGTCCCACTCACCGCAACTCGTGCAGCCTCTGGTTCTCCGCCTGGTTCCAGGCCATCAGCTCCCGGTGCTCGGCGGCGTCCTCCTGCGCCTTGCGCTCCGCCAGGACCCCGGCTCGGGCCTCGTGCACCTTTTTCCGCACCTCCGACACGAACTCCAGCCTGAGCGGGGACGCGCTCCAAGTCGGCACCCTCTCTACCCGCCCGCTCGCCCCAACACTCCCCAGAGGGCGCCGACGGTCACCTGCCCCTCCGTCACACAGACCTGAGGGCGCGCACAGTCTGGCGATACTGCCGGTAACGCTCCGCCAGCACGAAGAATTCCGCAGGATCCACCGCGGGCGGAGTCTTCACGCGCCCGACCTTAGACTTGGCGGGAGGGTCGTGGCGGGTCTTGCGGCCGCGCGCGGGCAGCAGTAGCAGGGCCGGAGCCCGGCACGGGGGCAACGAGCCCAGGCCGCTCAGCGTGCGGAGCATGGCCGCGTCGCTTTGCAGCTGTCCGCCGCCGCCGCCAGGCCCGGAAGCGGCCGCAGGGCACCTCGGGACCTGCAGTCCCCGGGACCCCGCCCCTCCCCGGGGGGCGGAGCTCGCGCGCGGCTATCCCACCACTCATCCCCGCCCCCGGGCTCGGTCCGGCCCTCCCGGCAGGCGTCCAGGCGGCGGGGTCCTGCCGCCCCTGCTCCATTAGGGAGTTTCTGGGGGAGTGGGATTGGGAGGGGATGAAGGAAAGAGCTCGAGGCAACAGCTTCGCAAACTTCACACTTTTATTGAAGGATGGCTGGACGGGGCGCTCGGGCTGCGTTCTGTGAAGGGAGAGGGGTGGTCATACCTCGGGCTGCTCGGTCCCCTTCCCTCCTGCCATCTGGTCATTTGACCTGCTTTCACGTTGCTCGGATGCACCCGGCTCCTACAGGAGCCTGAGAACCCAGCTTGGGGATTTCCAGCCCGTGACCCTGTTCACCCCAAGCAAGCTTGATGTGTCAAAGCCCGAGCTAACATCACTTAAATTAGGCGATAAGGCTGTGCCTCCTAGGAATTTACCACTTCCTCCTTTAGTTAATGCGCACCCCTGGTGCACTTTACATGTGTTCTATTTGCAACTAGTAATAACTCATTTTCCTACACCTGTATTCTTCTATGGTCTTGGGGAGGTCTACAGTCACTGAGTTGTTCCGAGTCCAAGTCAGTGATCATTTGGCTCTTTGAGCTCTGTGTGAGGTGCACTCCTTCCCTCTTCCCTCTGGCCAGAGGGCCTGCCCACCTTGAAACACACCGACTTGGCTGTCATGAAGTCTAGGGAACACCACAGCTACCACTCTTTTATATGGGCCTTTTTAATACCGTTGTTCTACTGGGGAAAGGGGCATCCCAGTGGTATTTCACACTCCCCAGTCCCCAGGCAGGATGGCCAAAGGGGACCCATGGATAGTCTTGACCGAAGGGGACCTCTTACCACACTCACCATTAGGGTCTACACCAGGTGCTGGTTCCTGTGGAGGGACAAGCGGGCCATGGTCCTGCCCTTCCAAGACATTGGATCCTCAGGGGGAGCCAGTGCATCATTTGGTAGGCTATCGGCAGCCTGGGTTGGGTTGCCAGCTGCAGGGCATAAGACCCTTCCTCAGAAGGGAACAAAGGCACCTGCCCCCACCTCCCTAACCCCAGGAACCAGCATTGTCTTCTTCCCACTCAAGCTGGGAAGACCTATCACCAACCTGAGGACCTAAAAGCACTTGGGAGGTCCTGGAGTGAGCTGGAGGCTCGTTTTCCTCCGGGGTACCAGCCATAGGACCAGTGCTGAGCCCTCGAGGGTCCAGGGTGGACAGTCAGCAGCAGTAGGAGCAGCAGCAGAAGGCCTAATCTAGAGCTAGCCATGGCAGCACTGCTCTGTACGACAGTGGAGAGCACTCAAAAGTCTGACACTGCATCTCAGGGCAGCTTATTATTTTCCAAAGCCTTTCCCTCTGCGCCAGTCCTCCCCCAGAGCTCTGGAGCACAGGCTCCCTCCCCAGTTCTGAGGGCCCTCTTAGTTAGCCAGGCCCATCCCTCCTTCCTTTGGGAAGTTCTAGAAGTGGAAGATTAAGAGGGGAATAGACTTCAGGCCAATAGATGGGAAGATGGTTGGATGGTCAGGGGAATTCTCCATAAGTCAAGTGGCAGAGTAGGGTATTTGGAGCACCTGAGTTTCTGCTCCTTTTCTCTGTGGCCTGTTATCTCTCTTCTTTGGTAGTTGGGGATATGGAATGGATGTGTGGTGACTGGAGTAAATGTTTCCACCCCTGTCCCTCTCATGCCAGGAGTGACAAGCTCAGGAAGAGATTAATAGAATTGGGGGAAAAAGGAAAAGGGGTGGAAGGGCTTGGGAATAGGAAAGAGGGACATTGTGCCATGCACCCAAAGAGAGCTCCAGCTAGGGCGGCATTCTCACTCACCAAGGGAGAGCTGTGGAGGTTGCTCCTTCAGGCAGCTGCAGACCCTAGTCAGACAGCCCCGGTATTTATTGACCAGGAGGTGGCTTCTCTTGCTCCTGGCCCATGGATTCCAGTGACGTCTTGAAAAGGAGGTGGGGTGGAGAAGTGCTTGCCACTCAACCCCCTTCCTGCTGGCTCTAAGGCCACCAGACCAATGCTCCCTCTGCTCCCTCATCTTCCCAGGGGGCTTAAGTCAAACATAAAAATCAAAATGGCTGCAGAGTGGTCAAAAGGAGAGCAAAGATCCTTTTCCAAGTCTTGAAGTTTTACTGACAGTGGTAAATTGCCACAAGGTTTCATGTTGGGAAACGAACTTGACAAAGGGCACAAATTTCTATTATTAAATACCTTGTAAGGTTTGAAAAACACCACAATGACCAGTTTTATCTCCTGACCTGGATATTTCAATGGACTTAGAAAATTCACCACCACCCCAATTTGCACTGGACTTCACTCGATCCTATTTCTCTCCCAAAGCTGCATGGTCCCTTTCAGAGACACCTAACCTGTTTCCCAATTTGCAAATCTATTTTGCACTTGGATAAGACTAGCTTTGCTTTTATTTTAACCTTCTTTATGATTTCTTGTTTACAGAAGTCACAGGATTTCTGCTCTAGCTGGTCCATGTCCTGGTCTCACCTTTCCACTTCCTAGGGTGTATCAAACTCTTGCCCTGGAGCTGTATATAGCCCTTCCTGACCCCCAAAGAAAACTGTGGCCGAGAGAGGGGCAATGCATTGGGATTCCCTGACCCAGCTCAGGGCTCTGCCCAGTGGAAAAGAGGTGAATAGAGTGGGGTGCTCAGCAACCTAATTGGAGATCTGGGGGAGGCGTGACCACTCTCCCGGAGAGCTTGTTACTCACCTATAAAATGGTCTGAATGGAAGTGTTCACATTCATACACCTGGCACCAGGGTTGGGTCACTCCAGTTGTAGGTGGGTTTTTTGCTGGGGTATTACCTACCCCTGCTTGTTGCCCACTTAAACATGCCCATGTTTGGGGACCTGAAGTCTCCTTTAAGCTATCAACTGGGGATAATTTTGTCTCCCAAGGTTCAAACCCCTTTTCATCCTGTGCTTAACCCAAGACCATTTGTGAATTGGACATAGCTAGCCTGCGATCCTGGAAACCAGCCTTTGCCTCCAATCCTGTGTCAGTGGCTCAGCCTTCCACTGCTAACCACTGGTCTCAAGGGGTCAGAGCTCTATTTACAGAGTTAATAGCCTATCTCCACATCTGAAATCAACAGCAAATGCCAGTGCCAGGGTCAGGCTCGGCAGCGTGGTGACCAGAATCTTTGGAGAGAGAAGATGCGTCATATCCTGTGATAAGGATGGGGAAAGGTCACGACAGACATGAGGGGCAGCCCTGGCACCTGGGCTTCAGGATGGGCCCAGATGTGACTTTCCAAATTGACTTATCAGCAGAGACCTGAAATAAATCTGGGGACTGTATGTTCAGTTAAACTGTATTGGGAAATACAGAGACTTTGTTAGCTAGGTTATTCTTAGGAAAATATTTGCTTTATGCTTTAGTGAAAATAATAACTCTTTGAATTCGATCAACTAGTCTTGTTGTCTGGTTGAGTTACAGAATGTTCCAAAGGCCCCAATGGTGTATGCATGTACAAATGTGTAACAACAAATCCCACCATTATGTACAACTATAATGCACCAATAAAAAGTATGGAAAAGAAATAAAAAACAGTCCCTGGTGGTAGTAGGTGTGTTGATGTACACCCTGTAATCCCAGCAACTTTTGAGGCTGAGGCAGGAGGATCATGAGTCTCAGGCCAGTCTCAGCAACAGCAAGGCCCTGTCTCCAAAACTGAAACCAAACAAAACAAGTCATAAAGTTCCTGGTAGTTTGCCATCCCTCCTGGCCGGGGGGTGGCTGTGGGGATCCAACCCAGGACCCTTGCACATGCTAGGCAAATGCTCTATGACTGAGATATATCCCTGTGCCCTTGGTGTTTATTTTAAAAGAGGAAAGAGAGGCTGGGGTTGTGGCTCAGCGGTAGAGTGCTTGCCTAGCACGTGCAAGGCGCTGGGTTCAATACTCAGCACCACATAACAATAAATAAAATAAAGATATTGTGTCCAACTACAACTAAAAAAATATTTTAAAAAAATAAGAGGAAAGGGGTGACTTTTTACATTTGTGTGTGTTTGGGGGTGGGGTGGGATTAAACCCAGGGCCTCATAAATGCTGCATGCTAGGTAAGAGATATACCTATGAATTAACTCCCCTTTTCTGTAACCCCACCCCCAACACACACCAAAAATTCCAAACCAAACTAAGCTTTTTTAAGGCAAGGTCTGGTCCCTTTCTTTCTGGCCACATGCTTAGCTTTTCAGGACTGTTTCATGTCCCTTCCAGACCACCAACCCTGGAATTCATCCTTGTATCCCTTTTGGCAGAAGAGGAAAGCCACTTATTTACTACTGAGTTCCAACTACGCCTGGTTCTGAGGGTATCAAATCACTCACTGTAGCTAGGGTCAGTTGGGAAAGCAGAGGGTGAGAGCAGAATGCTTAGGTGTTGTGGGAGACATGCACAAACCTTGGATAGTGGCCCAGGGCCAAGAATAAAGATGCATTAGCTAGCCAGGTGCAGTGGCGCATGCCTGTAATCTAAGTAGACATGGGAGACTAAGGCAGGAGGTTCACAAGTTCAAGGCCGGCTTCAGCACCTTAGTGAGAACTTGTCTCAAAAATTAAAAATAAAAAGGCTGGGGATATAGGTTAAGTACCCCTACCCCAAAATTAAAAACATATGCTGTTTGTAAATGTTATGGTTTGGATGTGAGGTGTCCCCCAAAAGTTCACGTGTGACAATGCAAGAAGGTTCAGAGGAGAAATGATTGGGTTGTCAAGAGTCTTAACCAAATCAGTAACTGAAGTGGTAGGGTGTGGCTGGAGTAGGTGGGAATTAGGGCATGTCTTTGGTGTATATATTTGTATCTGGCAAGTGGAGACACCCTCTGCTTCCTGATGATGCGAGCTGCTTCCCTCTGCCACACTTCCACCATGATGTTCTGCCTCAGTTGGAAGGGTGGATCTGCTTACCATCCCCAAGGAACGCAGCTGGCCTTCTGCGGACTAAGACCTCTGAAACCATGAGCCCTTAAACTTTTCCTCTCCTAAAATTGTTCTGGTCAGGCCCTTTAGTCATAGTAGCAAAAAAACTGACTAAAACAACAGAGTTGTGGACTCAGAATGGTATTCTGGGGTGATCTAGCAAAGGGACAAAATGGAGAAGGGCCAACAAAGGAACTGCTGGTGATCTGTGGGTTCTAGCATGGCAGGGTGGAGACTGGGTGGAACCCGAAGGACTGGGGGAAGCCTGGGGATGGGGGCCAGCGACAGGTACCTCTGGACCACTCTGGGGAAAGGAGGCAAGTGGAGGAGAGCTGAGGGTCCACATACACAGTCCAGGACCTCTAAGCTCTAAGGAAGGAGACTGGAAGCAGTTAATGAGGTCCAAAAAGAATCACTAGTGTTGGCAGCAGGTCCACCTTGGCCCCTGGAGCCCCTACCTCCACTAGTTTGTTCTGCATGCCAGTGTGGCCAGCTCACAAGGCCATGGCGAACTTGCGGTTTTTCTGTTCCTGCTTGTCCGTCTGAGACATATGTATCCCACGGGAATGCCTTGATCTTTTCTGGTCTGATGGACTTATTGTTAAGGGAGGTTTCAGTACCTGACAATATTGGATGTTGAAACTAAATTTCTCCCCCCTCCCTCCTGCTTTTGGGTAGTTTTCCACTTCTGCTGCTTGGGGTATAAAAAAAGGTGTGTTAGCAATAAAGATTATTGACTCCTGGATGAAGAACCTTGGTGTCCTGTGTGTCTTTTAACCTCGCCGTCCCTCGCCGGACTCGGCTCCCTTGGCCGGATGCGGCACACTAGTACCAGCGGGGAGCTGGTGGACAAGGGGAAAGGGATCCCTGGGGTTTAGCACCTAGGCTGCCCTGGCAAGAACCAGTGAGAGTCGGGGTGAAGTGAGGAAGAAGTAGTAGTCAGAGGAGAGACTTTCTTACAAGCAAATAGGGACTTATGACAGCATTGCAGGGGAAGAACTTAGGTCTGGGGGAAATGACTTTTCCCCCTTTTTTCTTCAATGAAAGAGACTTGAGTATCTGGGGGTGGTGGTGAAAGAAAATGAAGCCCAGAAGGGAGCCGACTCAATATTAAGTGAGATCTCTAATGAGTGGCAGGACCCAGAATTTGGGGTGCACAGTGGGCGCTGGCTGTAACTCTTCCCTGCAGGGAAATAAACTTACCCACCCTAATTCCCTGGGGCCACAGCTGATTGGATGTGAGGTACCGGATGAAGCAGTCACCCCAGCCCTTCTCACACACTGTGCTGTGAACGCCCAGGACATTGTTCTTTGAACTTACACTAGTTCCTGTTGGGTTCATGTCTCTTGCACTCTGAGTAAGAAAAGAGTTAAGGGGGAGGGATGAAGGGATAAGGGTTAGTTCTATGGAAAGGAAGCAAAGAGATGAGGTAATTCCTGCTGGAAGATAATTGATTAGTAATCAGGTGAAATTTAAAATATTGGCCCAGCCACTGACCAAGTCAGCACAGACTCTAGCAGAAACCTCAGAAACCTGGTGAGGCCACATTGATGTGCTCTGCCCAAAGCCAGCCTTGCAAATAGGAGATGAGCCACTTGCTGGGAGTGGAAAGGCAACATAGGGACAGAGCTTCACTTGCATGTTCAATGATGGCTTGCTGACCCCACCACCATACTCCTATATCTGCTGGACTTAGTCACACAGAGGGTTCAAAGGGTAGCTTGCAAGGGCCAGGGTCTTCTCTTCAAACCAGCATCCCTAATTGGAGATCTCTCAGATTCTTTGTTTATCATGCTTCTTTGGAAACTACTGAGTTTTGAGTCAATTGCCTCCTGTAGTTCCAACAGAAGGACTGAATGCCTCTAATGACTTGCACTCACCTCTTGAAGCTTCCAGAAGTAGTCTGTTGTAGTGTCCCTGCCTCCTGTAGGCCTCTGGACTTCCTTTCTCTCGTACTTCACCCAAACATCATGAATATGTGGTGTACACTGAGTGCCCTCTTGAAGCCCGAGTTACAGTCTCATCTGGATTTAGAGCCTCTGTAATGCAGCTCCACTTGATCTTTTTCCCTCTATATTCAACTCAATTTCCAGCATCCCTTCTTGGATCTAGTTCAAGCTGCATTGCTCCAGCAAGCCATGGAACACTGACCTGAATGTGCCTCCATGGGCCAGGCTGGAGTGCTACCTCTCACTCTTGAAGCCTTTGAGCCCAGAGCCTGCCACAATTCTTCAAGGAAGGCCAGAGGCTGCAGGCTTCCTCCCTCAGCCCTGCCCTGCCAGCCTGGGCAATCAGTTTATCTTCTGCTCCCATCATGAGCTGCTCCTGAGGCTAGGAGGAGTGATAAGCAGACCCACCCTTCCAACTGTATCCCAACTAAAGGTCACACTTCTCAATACTCCTTGTAATTAGGTACAGCCATAGGATTATGTTTTAGCTACTGGGCTATGAGAAACCAAAAATGCAACTTTTGAGCTGGGAACAGTGGTGAATGCTTGCAATCCCAGGTACTGGGAGGCTGAGGCAGGAGGACTCCAAGTTTGGGACCAGTTTCAAACTTAGTGTCTCAAATAAGACAGTGAGAACCTGCCTCAAAACGAAAAATAAAAAGGGTTGGAGATGTAGCTCAGTGGTAGAGCATCACTGACTGGGTTCGATTCCCAGTGTTGCCTGCCCCCACCTGCCACCACCAAAAAAGCAACAACTTTTGCTAAAAATGAAATTGTTTTGTGTTTACACTACATACTTTTCCCCCCTTGCCTGATTCAGATGCAGATGTGGAAGTGATTCAACTCCTGCCACAGGGATGAGAATTATATTTTGAGGACCATGAATCTGGAAGGTAGAAGGATACTGGGTCTCTGGGTAGGGCAGACTGTTATATAAGGAATACATAAACATTTATATTATTTAAGATACAAAACTTGACATGTTAAACACATCAGATTTGAGACCAAGTTGAAATCTAAGAATCCCATCATCTTGGCTTCTGGATTTGAGACTTTTCCACATTAAAGTCCTGGAAATTAGGACATATATGAAAGGATGTGGAAGCCATTTGACACAATCAATGTGGACACAAAGACTTTTCTGGGTAGTGACACAATCTAAATGGCTTTGAAGCAAAGCAGCAGAGCTGGAGAGGACAGAGACCAACCTCAGGTCTAAGGCTGAGCCAGTTCCTCTTCTCCTGGTGGCCCTACCCTTTGCCATCTTCTCCAGGGTGTGAGGCTGGATGAGACCACTAAACAAAAGATGTGCTGGGAAAGAAAGGAGGGTCTTGGAGATCACATCAGAGATGGAGGAGCTGTGAATGATAGAAATGGAGAGCTGGGGAACTGAGAGACAGCAGCAATATAGTAGGGCCAGGAACAGCCTAGCCCTGTCTGGTTGCCCCACCCCAGACAAAGGGAGAGACATTTCCTCAGGGAGTCAAAGCTTTTATTACCTGATAATCCCTAGTGTGGTGCCAGAGATACCGCCCTGGTCCCATTACTCCCCCCAGGGGGCTGCTGGGATGTGGAGGTGTGTTTGAAGGAGGTGAGATAGAGAGAGGGATATTTACAGTGTAGGCAGGGAATGGAGACTTGCATGGGGATCCTGGGACAACCATTTCCTCAAGAGTTCTGAGAACTTTGTGCTTTTTTCTTAGCTGGTGCCAAGCTACCTGGAATGGGTTTATCTTCTTTAGGAAAAGATGTTTAAACCAAAAAACAATCCAGCCCAATTTCCAGGCTGAGGATTACACGATATCAGTCAAACATCACACTATTTAATTCCCCAATAAAACATTGGAAAAAGGACTATCAGTGCTAACACATTTACATATAAAATCTCCACCTAATAGGTAATAGAAGCCTATGTACCAATTTCTAAAACAGTTATAAGATATATACACAATTTTGGGTATATTAACAAAACAGAATATTACAAAATATTAAAGGCAATTCTCCTGTCCACGGGGCCTTGTCGCCTGTTACTTGAAGTTGGCATAATCTGAGAATGCATCAATGTATTCCTGCACCACCTTGTAGCAGAACTCATACTGCTCCTGGAGAATGAAAGTGGGAAGAATGCCAAGGTTATTGAAGAGTATGTGGAACCATAGTTCCTAACAGAGCTGTTTTTAGAATGGAAATTGGAGAGGAAATGAATGTTTGTGGACTTCCACATGCACCTCGACCTGTCTGCCCAAGTTCTGATAGCTCTGCCCTCTGGATTAGCACAGTGGATGTTCTGCAAATAGAGCTGACTGGACTGGCAAGGACAAATACGAGTATGCTGGGCTGGGAAATGGTGCACCTTCACCATGGCTGCCAGACTGGCATGTGTTCTGCTCTTAATGTCTCATCTCCTGGTAAACCTCCTAAAATTTACTTTTCTTTTTCCCCTCAAACATTTCTCACTCCAGAAGTTTTAGGAAAACATTTGTGGATGTCCACACTGTTAAAAGTCAGATCTCTTAATAGGGAGCCTGAACAGAACAAAGGTAAGTAGTCCTGCTCCCCGACCCCCAACCCAGGGAGAAGCATAAACAAGCCCTGGGGGCACCCGAGTACCCCTTGTCTAACGTGTCACATTCCCACTGGTGATAGAGGGTATATTCCCACTGCAATCCTGCCTCTCAAGGCACTTGTGGGTTTGGACACCTTGGGGAAGGGTGGGACTCCTGAGGGGGACTCTGAAGGCCTTCTCCCTGATGGGGAAGGATTGCAGATGGTGGTGGCACAAAGACATGAGCAGCATACCAGTGTCTGGACCATATGTGGCCTCTGAAGCCGCAGGCTCTTGACAGTCTGGAAGACATCCAAAATCCCCTCTGCTTTCACTCGTTCCAGGACTGTGCTCAGGGCACAGAAAGTCCCTGTCCGTCCTGCCCCGGCGCTGAAACAGAGCAGACAGACTTACCATGCCTGCTAAAGCTCTCCAAGCAGAGTGGGTGAGTATGAGTGACAAGGAGCAGACTGAAGCTGAGTCTGGTGCCTGGGAAGGTGCATGATCCATAGAGCTACCACAGGAGGGTATGAGTGGGGCAGGAGGCCTGTGCTCACCTCTGCCAGCCTAGAGGAACTCAGCATACCTCTGGGGAGGCAGTGACCCCTGCTGCCTCTCCTTCATGGCACAGGTTACTCCTACTGAGGGCTCACCTGTGGGACCATGCTAACAACCCTCATCTACACTCCACAAGTACTAGCTCTTGACGTTCACCTACCAACATGCCCAGGTTGACCTGACCCTACCACTGGATCAGGTTAGAGTTCTATTCCTCTCTTCCTTTTCCCTGACAAACCATTTGCAATGGTATGTACCTGCTGGTTCTTTCCTGTGTCTCTTATCTTCTTTGTAAATCCAAGGAATTCAGACCTTGACAGTATCTACCCCGCTCAATGTCATCAGCTGATTCTCTAACTGGACATTGAGTGCCTGCTCTGTGGCAAGGACTGCGGGGCTTAGCAATCTTTCTAGAGAAAAAGACATGCAGTCAGGGAAGGAGAAAGAGGAGCAGAGTTCAGGTAGGGTGCTCAGGAAGGCTCTCTGAACGAGTGCTGTGTGAGCAGACATACCAAGAAGGTGAGGGTGAAGTTCTATGGATATCTGGGAAAGAGTCTCTCAGGACAAAGGCAGGAGTGTGCCAAGGGTGCTGAATCTGATGTAGGAAGGAAGGATAGTGGTGAGGGTGAGGTCAGAGCCCTGGGAGAATGCCAGCCTAAGTTGCATCCTGCTTCCTGGCCTGACAGGGAGCCCTCAGATCATGTTGGGCCCTTGTTGTTGGGATTCTAAATAAAGGAGAGATTTATAGTTGTTTATATATATGTTTGGTGGTGATGCGCATAGAACCCAGGGCCTTGTGCATGTTGGCAAGCACTCTACCTCTGGGCTATATCCCCAGACCATGACTTACATTTGAAAGGCTCCTGAGGCAGGGCGAGAGGCAAAAATAAATAAATAAAATAAAAGGCTCTCTTAGGCTGCTGTGTTGAGAACAGATTGCAGGTGAAGGTGACAGCAGAGAGACCAGCCAGGAAGGAGATTGGTACAATTACTGCAGAGGGAAATTGGCTTGGACAGAGAGGATCCTGGAGGAGGCAGTGAAAAATACTTGGATTGTTAGATTATATGCAGGTAGAACACAATTTGATGATGGATTAGATATGATATCTGAGAAAGAGCAGAGAACAGGTTAGTTCCAAGGTTTCTCTCTGGAGTTATCTGGGAAATGGCAAGCTACTTACTGATGTGGAACAGCAGGCCTTGACAGAAACACCAGCAGTTCTCACTTGAACCCTAAGCTAAGGATGCCCATTAGATATCCTTGTGGAAATGACAAGTAGGTAATTGGATAGATAAACTTGGTGTTTGGGGGATCACTTAGAGAACTGGTAATAAAGACTTGGGAATTGCTGTTAAAGCCAGGAGACTGAGTGAGCTCTCCTAGGGGTGTTGTCTGTTGATAGAGAAGAGGTTCAAGGACTGGGCCTTGGACCACAAATGGGGAGGAATCAACACAGGACACAGAAGAAGAGCACATGAGGATGAAAACCATAACAGAAGCCACTTGGGGAGTGTGCTGCAGAGAGATCAGTGATAAACTGTGTCCAACACTGATGAAAAGTCAAGTATGATGAGACTGAGAATGACCACTGGCTTTAGCAATCTGGAGGCCACAGGTAGCCCCAGTGGTGCAGTTGAAATGGAGTAAGTGTGTGAGTGGGTGGTATGACTGGAATGGGCTTGACAGGATAAGAGAATAAAGGAAAGGAACTAGAGAGCTAATATGGACAAATCTGTTGAGAAACTTTACTATTAAGGAAACTCAGGGTAAACATTTCTTTTTCCTAAAATGCAATCTCAAATAACATGTTCCATGTAAAATTCACCTTTTCTCTCCAAACAAGTCTCCTTATCATCTTTTTTTCAGTTGCTTACATCAACTGCTACCAGTAACCTAGGCTCAAACCTGAGAAGCACCCTTGACTCTTCTGCTTTTTTGCTAAGCAGTCTTAGTCTTTTCATTTTCCCTTGACTGTTTTCAGAACATTTGCCATTTTCTTTCCCTGTGTTTAAGGAGGCCAGGCCCTCATCCTCACGTTGCCCAACTAGTCTCTCTATAGCTCTCCCATCACATCCCACATGTTCCCCTGCATAATACCTCACATTGTTCATGTTGTTAAGTTCCCTAGTATTTAATGTGCCAAATTCAAACTCCAAGACACTCTCTGAGCACTCACTCAGCTCTGTTATGACTGTCAAACTTGATTGTCACAAGTGCTCACCTACAACCTGCTCCTGCACAGCTTTCCTCACCATCTGACACATGTTCACCACTGCACCCCCGCCTCTGCCACCCATCTGAGAGCTGGGGCCAGCGATACCTGCAGTGCACAGTGATGGGGTGGTTCCCCGACTGCTGCTGCTGCTTCTGTACAGCTGCAATGATGCTGATCATGCCCTTCCCATCACTGGGGATGCCCACTTCAGGCCAGCCATGGAAGTGGAACTGTCGGATCTGCCGGCTCTTGTTCTCCTTTGGAAAAAAGAGGGTCAGGGAGGCAGGGGTAGCTCTGCTTTCCCTGAGGGAGGAGCCCCACCTACCGCACATCTTACCCTGGTGTTGGTAACCAGGAGGTCTCGGACGGTGTAGCTCTCACATTCTTCCTCCTTCTTCAGCTCCACTGTTATGTCTCCATAGGATACAAGGCCATCAGATGGCCAGTACTGGGCACACTTCTCCTGGCGAGACAAATAAGAGAGGCCAGGGGCTAGTACTAAGTGTGGCAAAGGCAGCATTGCTCGTGAGCAGCCTGACCTCTCACTTTTTTTTTTTTGGTACTAGGGGTTGAACTCAGGGGCACTCAACTACTGAGCCACATCCCCAGTCCTATTTTGTATTTTATTTAGAGACAGGGTCTCACTGAATTACTTAGCACCTCACTATTACTGAGGGTGGCTTTGAACTCGTGATTCTCCTGCCTCAACCTCCCTAGCCACTGAGATTACAGGCATTCTACAAGAAATAATTAGTTAATCATTTAGTGTCACTTGTTGACAATCTAGTTTACAATATGACAGAGTCTATGAAGAACTCTGCTGCTCAGTGCTATTCAACACTCAAATGGCTGTGGGGAGGATGAAGAGGGATGGATGTTTTTGTTCCACCCTTAATCCATGATTCCATATTTTATAGCTGCTTACATGTGCCACCTTGCTAATCCAGAAAAGTGGAACCCATTTACACCCTCACCCAGCCATGCTGCTTCACCATAGCCCAGTTCACAGTATCCTTTTATTCCTCTGATCTCGATCTCCTTAATCTGCAATGGTACTTTAAGGTTGCTAGTTCTAGCACTCCTGTCCTTGCAGGAGATGGTTTACTGTCTTTGCTTGCACCTAACTCAATTCCTTCTAAAGCTCCCTGCGTACAGGGGAAAGGATCTATCTCAATTCATCTTTGCATCTTTAGCACCGTGACCCAGGCCTGGCATTCTATAGGCTCTCAATAAGTTCCTGGTAAATGAATGTGTTTAATGTCTTCAGAATAAGTCAAGGCATAAATATGTAAGTAAAACGTGGTCCATTTCTTTAGAGCATTGTGTGTGTGTGGGTGGGGGGGGGGTCTGAGATTTTTTAGTTTTTAGTTTTTTTTTTTTTTGATGGTACTAGAGATTTAACCCAGGGCTGCTCTACCTCTGAACTACATTATCCAACTGGTCTCTCTGCTGTTGGTCTCCCTTGCTGCTCTCCTGAATCCCATCACGTCCTGCATGCTCACCTGCCCAATACCTCATATTGTTCACGTTGTTAAGTTCCCCAACATTTAATGTGCCAAGTTCAAATCAGTCCTGCTTTTTATTTTATTTGAGACAAGGTCTCACTAAGTTGCTGAGGCTGGCCTCCTGCCTTAGCCTCCCAAGTTGCTAGGCTAACAGGCATGCACCACCACAACAGCCGAAACTTAAAAATTCTCAGCCATACATGTGCATTAAGATTTGAAAACATTAAGTACAAAAGAAAAATCATTGATAGTCTCACAGTACAAATAAAATTACTATTAAAATACAATTTATTGGGCTGGGGCTATAGCTCAGTGGTAGAGCACTTGCCTTGCATGTGCACATGTGAGACACTGGGTTCCATTCTCAGCACCACATAAACATAAATAAAGATTTATTTATCTTTATTTGTTCTTCTACAACTAAAAAAAAATTTTTAAAAATCCAACTTATTTATGTGAGTCAAGGCAGGCCTTGAACTCCTGGCTCAAGTGTTCCTCCAGCCTCAGCTTCAGTTTCCTGAAAAGCTGAGACTCCAGGAGTGTCACCTCATCCAGATTAAAAACCCATTTTACGGACTTTTATTGCTTTTCCTAAGTGTGATCATTCAGTAACTCCTTTATAAATGACAGTGAATTCATTCTAACAGACAGGTTATTAAAGTATTGGAGCAAAGAAATGCCGTAGACCAGTGCTTTTCCACCTGTGCTCTCCAGAAATCTTGAGGATCCCTGAAGATGGGGTGCTGAACCACTCTTCAACCATAACTGTTTAAAAAAATCCTAACTAAGGTGCACCTCAACTAGTTATTAATCACTGGTCTCCAGGGCACTGGCAGGTAGAATGATTTTGCTGTCACAGTTCCCTTGAAACAATACCGCCTTCACACAATTTCTCAACCAGGACTGAAGATGGACTTCAAAGTCATTAGAATCACTAGGTTCCAGATGGGAGTGAGGTCAGCAGATTGAGATAGAGGGAAGAGAGCAGCAAGACCATATTTTACAAGAGAAAGAAATACTATGGGCCCTGCAACCAACAGCTTTTAGTACTTTAGATCTTCTTAGGTATGCATAGCAGAGAAAAAGGGCAGAAGGTGGGGAGTCCCCAGGCAGGCATAGCTGGGAATTATAGGAGAGAAGCCCTTCCTAAAGCTGGAGACAAGGGGCTTATCAACAGAGACAAAAATGGGAACCCTTCCTTGGTTAGCTAATGGGGACAGTCAGTCACTTGAGGTGGTTCTGACTGACCTCAGGGGGCAGACTTGTACAGTGAGTTTCAAGGGGACACAGCTATTAGAGGGTTACAGGGAGGCAGGTAAGGTGGGCTGAAAGAAAACAAATCTGGTAAATATGTGATTAGGATTTAAGGAATGACATGGAGTAAAGAAAAGCTACATAAGACTATAGGACAGATAATGGTAGGGAATTATCTTACTTATCCTGGCGAAGGGGACAGGATTCATTTAATTTAGCCCTCCACATGGGCTCAACAACAAAACCAAAGGAGCAGGTTACACTCAAAAACAAAGCCAAAGGCTGGGTATGGTGGCATGTGCCTATAGTCCCAGCTACTATGGAGGCTGAGGTAGGGGGGAATCACCTGAGCCCAAGACAACTTGTTGAGTCCCCATCTCAAACCAAGTCAAATCATCTAAGAGGGAAAAGGTGGGAAACAGAGGGAAACAATCCCCAGAGGCCTCTCTCTCTCTCGTCTATGAAACGGCGGCAGTGACAGCTGTCTGGCATTAGTTCACAGGCTGTGGTAAGTTGATGGAAGGCACAGAGCAGTTTCAATCAGATATCTATTATCCTCTGGGCTAAGGGACCCCTTCCTTAGGAGGCAGGATGTAGGTTTAAAGAATCCAGAAAAAACTGTAGCAGCACTGGCTATCCTAACTGTAGCCCAGGCTAAAAATGCCAAGATTCTGCTGGGATGGAGAAGTGAGAGAAGGACAATGGGAAATGCATGGCCATGAGGAATACGGGAGACCCGTCTCAAGGACAGAGGCTGTGACCCAGCATATAAACCATGCCCTACTTAGCCCATTGAGGGTAGAGGGGATAGGAGAAAATGAAAACTAGGGGATTTAAAATAAGCAAGTGAAACTAAAAGGAAGGGCCCAATTTAAGTGTGGGGACTAAATAACCAAAAAAAAAAAAAAGTTTCTAAATTTCATATGCATAGGTAGATTTTTTTCCTCAAGGTCTCTAAAAGCCCAAAGATGATTTTAAGATAAAGAGTAACATGATTACATTTGTATTTTTCAAAAGGGTGCTGTGGAGATTGTGGAAATCAAAGAAAGAAATATTCCTGGCTGCCATGTGAAGAACTGACTCAATGGGACTGGAAGCAGGAAGACAGGTTGCCAGGAAACTCCAGGTTGACCTAGTGCTGGCATGGTTTATGAGAGGTGTAACCACTGCCCCATGTGCATGTCCCTTAGTAGGTTAGAGATGATGGTATATTGTATGAGTGGCATTGTTAAGCTAGAGTGAAGTGGATATGCTCAGCAGGTATCAAGATTCACTGATAAACTGCATGTGGTGGTGACGAAAAGAGAGTAAGGAAGGGAAATCCTAGACTTGTAGCAGGAGCAGTGGGGTGGAAGATGGTCCTATTTATTGAGACAGTTCAGAGTGGGGTGAATTAGCATGAAGTGTGGGGAGAAAAATCAAGTTTCATTTGGGCCATATGGAGCCTTAGATTCTTTTTTGGAGAGGTACTGGGGATTGAACTCAGAGGCACTTAACCACTGAGCCACATCCCCAGTCCATTTTTTTTTTAAAGAGACAGGGTCTCACAGTTGCTTAGTGCCTTGCTTTTTGCTGAGGCTGGCCTTGAACTCACAATCCTCCTGCCTCTGCTTCCTGAGCAGTTGGGATTACAGGCATGTGCCACTGGCCTGAGATTCTTAATAATCAACCACATGAAGATATCAGGTAGGTACTAGATACATTAGTACACAATGGGAAATGCATGGCCATGAGGAATATGGGAGATCCCTATTGGAAGGGGAGTAGGTAACTGTGCTGGGGGCAAAGATTTAAGGCTTTGGTGTATGGGTTGTATTTAAGACCACAGGCTTGGCTGAGATCCTCAAGGACAGCATGTCATAAGAGAATGGGCTAATAAGGCCTGAGTATAGAATCCTCCAGAGAGTGTTTAGAGGTCATGCAGAGGAGAAGGAGGTCACAAAATAAATGACAAAGGAGCTAGCAAGGCTAGTGACAGGGGTGAGATTGTGGAAATCAAAGAAAGAAATATTCCAAGAAAGAGGGAAGCACTGACTATTTCGAATGTTGGTATAAGGACAACAACAAGAACAAACAAAAGGAAAAAGAAAAAAAAGAGAGAAATGATCTTTGGATTTGGCAAGATAACAGTCAATGTCACCGTGATCTTAACTAAAGCAGTCCCACTGCCGTCAAGAATGAAAGGAACAGAGTGAGGTGAGAACCTAAAGGGGAAAGCAGATGCTTTAAAGGAACTTATCTAGAAAGAAGTACATAAAAATAGTATCTAGATGGAAGGGGATGTAGGATTAGGGGAGATAATTTTGTTTTTTAAAGACAGGAAATGTAAGAGTGTGGGCTGCTAAGTAGAGAGGGGAGCTGTTGATGGAGACAAGACTAGCAAGGATCTTCCAGTGGCAAGATCCTTGAGGGAGGTGGGAATGGGACCAAGAGCACAGTGGATGGCTGCATCGAGCTATAGGATCCCTTTCCCCAGGATGGTAAGAGAACGGTTACAGATGTGAATGGGCTGCTGCTTGAGGAGGATATTCTTGTCCAATTTCTTGAAAAATGAGGCCAAGCTATAGCTAAGATATATGGCGGGATAGGCAAGGGGATTCTGCAGATCTGAGGGAGAGAAAAAGGAACAGGGGGGCTGGGGTTGTGGCCCAGTGGTAGTGTACTTGCCTGTATTGTGAGACACTGAGTTTGATTCTCAGCACTGAATATAAATAAATAAAATAAAGGTTTATCAACAACTTAAAAAAAAAAGAAAAAAGAAGGAACAGCAATAGAATTGCTAGGTAGTGCTTTACCCACATTAGATTTGTGGTGGTGAATTCAGTGGGAGAACAGTCAGCAGAGTTTTGGTTTTTTCCCAGTGATGTTTGCTATCATATGTAGATATGTAACTGGATTTAACAGAATAGAGGCCTTGCCATGAAAGAAAGTAAGAAAGTATGAGGCAATAATGGGTGTTAGAAAGGGAAGGATAATAATGACAAGCCACACAAACTTTACAAACAGAACACACAGGAAGGTGAAAATATGAACCAGGTGACTGACAATGAGAAAGTGGAGCAGTCAATGGCTCTAAGATTTGGTGAAGATAAACAATTACTGGAATAGAAGTAAGAAGTACCATGTTGTATTGGAGGTGATAAACAGGGTATAGAATGTCCTATCAAGATTCTAAAGGCATGGGGATGAAAAGATCATGATTTGACCATGGGAACTGGTAGCTGAGGAAGCCAAGAAACAGAAAGACTAAGGGTAGATAGATCATCCTCATGGATACTGATGCCTCCAAAACCAGAGATAGAAAACCAGGCACAGGGACACATGCCTATAGTCTCAGCTGAGCTGAGGCAAGAAGATCACTTGAGCCCAGGAATTCAAGATCAGTCTGGGCAACACAGTAAGATCCCACTGCAAATCAACCAACACCCCCTCACCAAAACAAACACCAAATCGACAAAAGAACAGAAACAGGAATAAAGGCCCCAAAGGGGTGGTAAACCAGGTGAAGAAGTCATTAAGTGGGAGAAGAGAGCTTGGGAGCTGAGGTTTAATCTCAGATTTAATTTTCAGGTTATGGACTCTATACAGTGGCATCCTGATGAAGCCTAAGCCCAGCTTTTCTGTCTTTTCTCCTGTGGTCTTTGTTCACCCTCCTTGCCTTAGACAGCACTAAGTCTCTTTATGGTACAAGGCTGACAACAGTAGTAGGGACTCAACTTTGTGGGCATCGTGTTCTACTGATGCTTTAAAGAAGCAGAATGAGAGTCAGATTGGGCTGGCACAGTGCGGGAGCTGGTAGCACTGCCCTGCTCACACTGATGCCTGTTCCAAGCTGTGGCCACTGAAGGAACCCATGCCTTCCCAAGCATCTTGATGCATCCTTTTGGTTAAAGTGGAGAAGAACGAGAAAACTCAAGAGAAATTTTAATTCCTTTGAGATTTTTATTTATATGGTAGAAAATTTATATTTGGGGATCAGACTTTTATACTACTGACATAAGGAGTGGTGGTGTCACTTTGTATAAACATACACACCCTTCACTATGTTATTTAGGCTTACTGTGTTTATCTCTGGGAGCTACACCTGACATGAATGAGAGATGAAACAATAAGTGAAATTTTATCTTGGAGGCCAGTGAGGCCCTATGAAAAATGCGACTAATGTCCTGTTCTGATTCACTAAGAAGTTTCTAAGATCAAAAGCTACTGGCTATTTTGATAGCCCTGGGAAGACAGAGGCTAAGGCACAGTGGCAGAAGGAAAGGGGGTCCACCCAACTGATAACAGGCTTGACCAATGGATTGGAGGACTAAGTGTGCATGGCTCTTCCCCTCACTGTTACCCAAGATAAATGCTTCCTGCCCCTCTACCCTAAACTCTCATTAAGCTCTCTTCAAGACTGAAAGAGTCTGAGGGGTAGGGATGTAGCTCAGTGGCACAGTGTTTGCTCAGCATGTGCCAAGCTGTGGTTCATCCCCAGTACCAAAGTAAGTTTAAAAAGAAGCCTGATAATCAGACTAGACAGGGTCAGAGATATTCACTGAGCTACATTTCATTATAGGGCAGTGGACCAAGAGATGTCTCTGAGCTTCCTATTCTAGCTCTTCTGCCTATTCTTTGGGCCTTCCCATCATTCACCTGCAGACGGAATGGGGAAAAACATGTAAAGCTCTGGTCTAATCCACATATCCCCTTGTGGCTATCAGAGGGCTAGCAGACATGCACTAGGCCCTGATAACACAGCCATTTCTGTCCCAGTTGGCCTTTGTTACTCAGTGCATGTTTTCTTGAGTGCAAGGCCAAGGACTTAACCAAACCTCCCATTTCATCAATCTTGTTACTAATAATAGACAAAGATCTATGAGGGATGCCTGTCAATTTGGTACATAATACAAGCCTGGGAAGACTAGCTACTGAGTGAAATGACTGAGCAAAAAACAAAAACCCACAAACTACAAACCTGACATAATGAAATGTTGGGGTATTGATACAGGTATGAAGCCTGTATCAAAGTTAAATAAACTGCACAAGCACAGAATGGGAACTAACTGCTTGGAACCAATGTAAAACATGCTTAATGTTTTTAATTTTTAATTGACAACAAACTCAGTGACTCCTGAGTGGGTGCTGTGCTTAACTCTTTTCCTATTGGGCCCTCCTCACCTCTCCACTCTCTCTGACCAGCTCAGCAGAGTTCAAGCCATCAATAAAACTTCCATAGTTCCCCTCTGCTTCTGGCTTGCCCATTTCTCCTCACTGTTCTCCTGGTGTTACCAAGGGATTAAAAACAGAACAAACAAAAACAAAAACAAACAAAAAAACACACCACAAACTGGATTTGTCAAAGACTCTTAAAGTGCTTTAAAAAGTCTCAATTCTTCATTATAGCTTAGGAGAAACTTTCCTACCAAGCCTTGCTAGCTTCTCCAGGATCATTTTATTGATTCTGATCCTTGTTACATAACATCCCAGGCCTAAAGAAGCACCCAATTACTTCACTGTATAACCTCAACAGAAAGAGTGTTTATAAGAATAAGTGGGCTGGGGATGTGGCTCAAGCGGTAGCGCACTCGCCTGGCGTGCGTGTGGCCCCGGGTTCGATCCTCAGCACCACATACAAACAAAGATGTTGTGTCCGCCGAAAAAAACTAAAAAATAAATATTAAAAAAATTAAAAAAAAAAAAAGAATAAGTGGGCTGGGGATGTGGCTCAAGCGGTAGCACGCTGGCCTGGCATGCACAGGGTGCTGGGTTTGATCCTCAGCACCACATAAAAATAAAGATGTTGTGTCCACCGAAAACTAAAACACAAATATTAAAAAATTCTCTCTCTCTTAAAAAAAAAGAATAAGCACAGTGGAAGCACAGACTGGCTGCCAGTAATGAGAGTTAGAGGGAGAATCCCTGAGATGAGAGTGCCCCATGGAGGTGGCATGACTGAATCAGTAGTAGTGGTGAGATTTCTTCTATTCCCTGGGAGCTCTGGGGGACCTCTGAGTCCCCAGACAACACTTTTTAACTGACTTGAGGGAGTGTTTTTTTTTTTTTTTTTTTTTTTTAAGACTTCCTTGTTAAGCCTGTGAAGCATGGCTGGTCTGGCACTGGGTCACTTTGTCCTCTGGCTTTATCCCTCTTAAATCACGTACTCAGCCAAAAAAGGGCACATGTTTCTAGGGGGAAAACTCCATTTCCTTATTAATGAAATTTAAGCTGTACATTTCTTGCTTTTGTTATTTCTCAAATTCTATTGTTTTCTTTCATTTAGCCAGAAGAGGTGACCCCTTCTTAGAGACACTCACCATGCCCTGGACTGGCTCTGTATCCCTCCTCTTGCCGGTTCTGCCCTGCCTGGGGGGGCTGGGTGCAGAGAATGTGTGCAAAGGCTAGGCTGGGGGCTGTATTCTGGAGAAAAGTGAAAGGGTGGGAACTGTTTTGCTTTCCAGTCCTGGGAGAAGCTGATGATAGCTCAGACCCTAACAGACTAGATAGTAAGTCTGAAAATGGCTTTGTGGACAGTATAATCAAAGTAAAAATTAAGAACTACCTTCTAGCCTACCCCTACCCCTATACACACACTTGTTCACACTGTCTCTCTCACAGCCCAGGCCCTTTTTGAACTCACCTGGCCTCTCTCCTCCAGTTCTGTTAGCATCACGATGGAACATGATTTCCACTCCCAGATCATACGCCAGAAGTCTTCAATTGTGTGGAGAAGAGGGCCCTGGCTGGCAATGTAAGAGTCCTTCTGCCGGTAGCCCTATACAGACAGGTCAATTACAGGGACGAGGTGGTATAATCAGGGAGGGGTGAATGGAAAAGATGGGCCTTTCTGGGAGGCAATGAGACAAGACACTAGGAAAGGATAGGAGCTGCTGGAGGCAAATCCATCCCAGGCAGAGCTCCCCAGTGGCCAAAGATCAAACTCTGGGGAAAGGAAAGGGGTGCTGGAGCTAGGATGAGAAGAACAGGAATGGGAAAGGTCAGGTCAGTTTTTTTAGCCTAGATGAGTGTGTGGTAAAGTTTCACTTTAGGTATCACACTGGAGTGCACTATGTTTTGCCCACCTTCTATTCTTTGGGGCTGGACAAACCTAGTAAGCTAGGTGGGTGGGAAGGTATCAGAATTCAGTAATTGCTGACTGATTCAAATAAGATCCTCCCAGGGAGATTTGTGAGGGAAGCACTGTTAAGTCCAGGGAATTTCTATGGGGTGCTGGGAGCTCAGGCACAGCCAACACTTACATCAATGAAGGATGCATTCACATAGTCTGTGTTCTCTTCACCTCGCTTAACTGGAATGATCACTCTGTTGAATTCATCTGCAGGAAGAACAGTGGCTGGTAGCTCACCAACATGCCCAATCTCTTTCTTTCCACTGCTCCTGCCCTTGGCCCTTAGCAGATGTAATCCCAGCTGGGCAAGGGCAAGCTTGTTTTTTGCCCAGGAGAAAGAAAGGCTTTGCCTCTTTATGATATTTTATTTACAGGGGCCATTAAAGCACTGGGAGCATCAAGAGGTAATGCCCTGATTCTTGTCTCCAAACCAATCATTAATTAGTCCCTGAGAAGTAGAAAGGGTGGAAAGAATTAGGAGATAGGGCACTTACATGGAATGATCTGTAAAACTCTGTTCTTCTTCATGTTGGCTGGAAGGTTTCCAGTCCGCATCTTGTCATTCTGGATTTTGATTGATGTTAACTTCTGAATGAGGGAGGGAAGTAGAACATTATTGACCCAAGTAACTACACCTAACAAGACTGCCTGTCACCGGACCTGCATCTCCAGGGTCCTTGTCAGCACTCTGTTCTTCCCCTAGGGTCCTGATCTCCATTTCTACATGTTTTTGTTGGAACACTGTTTCTTTCTTTAAGCTCAGGAACAAGTCAAGTCAGTGTTTAGTAAATACTGCCTTCCAGGCTGTTTTTTTTTTTTTTTTTTAATATTTATTTTCTAGGTGTAGATGGACACAACACCATGCTTTTATTTTTATGTGGTGCTGAGGATCGAACCTGGGTCCTGCCCATGTTAGGTGAGCGCTCTACCACTGAGAGACAACCCCTTCCAGGCTGTTGTATGAGTTCTTCTGGGATTCCTTTGGCCTAGAACTTTATGATCTGGAGCTAGGATTCCAGTATGAAGAAGGAACTAGGCCCACCCGATGCCCACCTTGCTGTTCTACCCCCAGAGGTAGTCTTAGACTTCTTAGAAAAACTTATCCAAATGTGTATCCCCTCTTCCCCTCATATTCTTCCTGATCCTTGCTACTCAGAGTGTAGCCCATACATCATCAGCATTGTCCCCATTTTGTTAGAAATGCAGAATGTCAAATGCAAAGTGTCAGGATCTAACTCAGACTTGCTGAATCAGAACCTGTATCTGTCAGGATCCCCAGCGTATACACCATAGTATGAGAAGAACTGCTTTTAAGGAAAGGTGTCATTCTCACCTGAAACTACAAATCACTTGCTTCTGGGAGCACTTTTCATTGATGAGAGCATGACTTGGGATGCTTTTGGTGGAAAGGATTAAACTCAGGATCTCATGAATACTAAGTACATGATCTACCAGTGAGCTACACAGCCCTGACACAGGCCTTATGTGTTGAGAGACATTATCTAATGGCATTCAGTAGCAGTCAGCAATCTAAGATCCATAGGCTAAATCCAGACTGCTGCCTATAAATAAAGTCTTATAGAAACAGCCCTACTCATTTGTTCACAATCTGTCTATGCCTGCTTTGGTGCTACAATAGCAGTAGTAAGCAGTTGGGACAGAGACTGTATGGTCTACAAACTCTAAAATATTTATTATCTGGTCCTTACAGAAAAATTTTGCCCTGGCTATATATAATCACCTGTGGGCTTTTTTTTTTTTTTTTAAACAAAACAAAACAAAAACATTGTTACCTGTTTTTCTTTCCCCCTAAACAAAACTGAAGTGACTCCTAACAAGGAAGATGAGTTGAGAATAACAGGAGCTGAAAGGGCCACTTCCTTAAACCACTGGCATGCCTCACCAGGGGTCTTACCATCTGCGGGCAAATGCACAAGGAGTCATTTACCCAGACCCACAATTCCCAGACCAAATGGACCCTTCAATCTGGAGTTGGTCATCTAGTACCAACTCACCTTAAACTCTTCTTCCAATCCATTGTTGCTGGTCCCTGGAATTTTGTTGTAAATTTTTTGCAGGTGGGTTTCTAGAGAGGTCACTTCCAGTTCTGTATCCCCATAGAGATAATGCTCCAGAAGGGCTTGGTATATAAAAACATACTGCATCTGAAACACAGATGATGCCAAGTTCTCAGTTATAGACAACACAGTCCTAATGATACCACATCATCCCTCCCATCCCCAGACCATTTTTCTTTTCTTTTGATCCTAGCAGGGACAAAATGATTCCTCTTACTGCCCTTACTCAGAGAAGCAGGACTCGAAATGCATGAGTCCTTCTGGTGGTGGTTAGCTTGGAAGGCAGTATTCCTATCTGCCTTGGGGATGGTGGAAGCTTAGTGAGGGGGACACATGCAACACTTCTCATTCTGAGAGGGCAGATTCAAGTTTGAAAGGACTGTCAGAAGTAGAGATACATAAAGTCTGTGATAATCTGTAATGGCCAGCCTCCTGACAGCTTCCCTCCTCATGCTGTGCCCTGGCCACAAAGCCCATCTCATTCCTTTTCTTGGATGTGGCTGAGCTACATCATGACTCACTTGCTTTCCTCAAGGACTGTTCCTTTTTTTTTTTTTTGTGGTGCTGGGGATTGAACCCAGGGTCTTGTGCATGTGAGGCAAGCACTCTACAAACTGAGCTATATCCCCAGCCCATGTTCCCTTATCTTTTAAAGACCAGTGAAATGACAGCTGCCTTCCTGACATGCCCATACCCAAAGTCAAAACCTCCTCTGTGCTTGCTTGCTTTCTTTTGATACTAGGGATTGAACCCAGAGGTGAGGGGTGCTCTACAACTGAGTTATGTCCCCAATCCTTTTTTGAGACAGGGTCTTGCAAAATTACCAAACTGGTCTCATACTTGCGATCCTGCTACCTCAGCCTCCTGAATAGCTAGAATTATAGGCATAAATCACCGCACCCAGCTTGTATTCTCTTTAAGCACTTTGTTTTGGTATCAGGAATTGAACCCAGGGGTGCTTAAGCCACATTCCCAGTTCTTTTATTTTTTTGAGACAGGGCCTCACTAAATTGCTGAGGCAGTACTTGAACTCGTGATCCTCCTTGCCTCAGCTTCCCGGGCTGCTAGGATTACGGGTATGTGCCACCGAGCATGGCTGAGTAGATAATTTATAAGGGCTCTTCATCACACTGTATAATGACGATCATTTACAATAACCTGGGAGACTGAGTGAGCCCTTGAGGTAGGCAGATATTTTAGCCCCAGGAAAAAACCTACCGCCACCTTCATCCACAGATTACTCACATCTGTTTGCACCATCTGGCAGCGCTGGGCCCGGATTCGGCTCACAAAGCCATATACATCCACCTTCCGCTCTGTATGCATCATGTCCAGCATGGCATCAATGACGACAAAGGTACCAGTACGCCCTACACCTGCACTGTAGCCAGAGGGCAGAGGATGGTTACTGGGATGAACAGCATGCCTTACTGGAGGAGGCAGGGAGGACAACAAAGGCTGGGGCTCTTTTTTCTAGGCCTCTAAATTCTAATTCTGAAGGGGAGGGAGTTAGGACTCTCTTGGAACCAGAAACTCCACTCTTCCCTGACTTTCTGATCTCTAGCTATCAGCATTAAGAACTCTGAATCTGAAGCTGCAAGGATACATGGTCATCACATACTCCAGCTCCACAGCAGGGTCTCCCCACTACCAACCTTGGAGGACTGCTCTTCCTTCCCTCTTTTCTCAAGTCATATTCTCTACCAGCAGTAGAACTTGAAGAGTCTCTCTTGGTGCTCCCCCCTGGGGCCCTAGTGCTCATGTTCTCTATGCCACCTTCCTCAGCCAGGGACCCTATGCTGTTTCCTGCTCTGGCCAAGTGGGCAGAATGTGGGGAGCAAAGAGTCAGGACATACTGACCTGCAGTGGACCACAATAGCCCCTGCATACTGAGGGTTACAGGCCTTCACTTTCTTGAGGAACTTGAGCATGCCGATCGGGGTGAAAGGCACCCCAAAGTCTGGCCAGCTGGTAAAATGGAACTGAGTGATGAGGCGCTGTGGTTTTCTGTTGGTCACATCACCCACCTGTGAAATGAGGAAATCTTTTATGTTGGCCTTGATAACCAGGACTGGGCATCTCACGGGAGGGAAGGTACAACAATGATTGTCAGTTACAATGAGAAAGAGAGAGTGTATCCAGAAAAGTTCTGACCATGGCCAGAGAATCTTCCTAGTAACTCCTAGTAACTCCATGAGTTAGGCAGGGCTGTTAATATTATTCTCAACCTATAGGTGTGGAAGGTAAAACTCAAGAAAACTTCAATGACCTATCAAGGCTTCAGAATGAGTAAATGGCAAGGTCAGAACCAAGGCCCTTTCCAAAGCACCACAGGCTCTTCAGCTAAAGGCAACTTTGGCTCAGGCCTCCACGGTTGCTCTGGAGTGCCAAGAATATGCCCACCTGGTCCTTGTCATCAGAAGCCTTTGAAGTAGGAAAGGTGACTCTAGTACCTGGCAGATTATGCTACCTCCCAATCCCCTACTCCATAGTGCTTGGTCACATCTTGGATCAAACTCCACATCAGTTGATACTTTACTCCCAAGTCATGAAAACATTGTCCTCTTAAGGTCTGAGAAGCTCTCTGAAGGTCAGATCTCTGGTTTCAGACTTAAACATATTGCACACTTAGTGATTCTTGACCATATTGGATAGGAGTGGGGACAATAGCCTGTTCCCATCCTCTCAGTGGTTAGCTGATCCTAAACAAGACTGGGAAAGGAGGCGGGAGACAGTACCTGCTGAATGCAGAACTTTCGTACTGTGTAGTCCACCAGGACAGTCACATCCTCTACAGACACACGGATATTCCCATAGGTCCAACAGCCTTGATCTGGCCAGTACTGGGCACACTTACACTGGAAAGAAATAGACACATACCCCCTCATCTCAGATTGCCCCTGGCTGATGCAAAGGGCCATAATGAAGTCCCCAGAAAGCCCTAGCACTTCTATTTTCACCTCAGGAAGCTGTGGACTTATTCATTCTAACTTCCTTTTATCAAATTCCTCAGCTTCCATAATCTCTTCACAGAGCATCAGTCCCATACTTATCTTTCCCACACTCACCCCTTCAATTCAGGGCAAATCTGAAGTAATTTTATTTATAAAATCTGTCCTTCCACAATATCCCAGATCAGGATTTAGGGGCAAGCCTGTCTGAACTCCTGGAGCCAGCAGTCTGATATGAGAGGGCCACCAAGATGGACTATGGCAGACTATAAACCTGCTATGAGAGGTCTAAGGCCTTCTCTGTTCACCGAGTCTTCGGCAGCTTTAAAGAATCAGAGGTCTATTTGAAGGAATCTAAACTAAAGCCCAGTCCTAGCACTATCCCTCTTAGGCACTGGGGAGCTGCTGATCAACCCTTAAACACCCCAGGACGGTGAGCAAGGTGATTCAAAGGCCATCCTTGAGAAATATTGCCACAAACGGGGATTCTTCTCTGGGGCTTGATATAGAACCCAGAACTGGCACTGGCTGTGACCCACTGATGATGCTGGGTAAGGCCAGGAGTAGTCGTGGCAGCCACACAAGGAAAAGGAGCAATCAGAAATCTGACTACAGGAGCCAGGCCCCAAGCCTCAGGTTGTTCTGCATTCCTTCAGGGTGTCAGTTCGCACAGGTCCCTCTGTCAACTTTAGGATATACCTAAAGGCCTCAGGAGATGGGATAGGAAACCAGGGGAATAAGGGACTTGAGAAACTACGGGAGAATAGCCTCTGTGGTTTTCCCTTAACTAAAGGCCTATGTCTTCCTTCCAAGTTATTTTAGAACCAGAGCAAGCTGTTTGACTACCAGATGTGGGAATCTGCCCTAGCCCCCCTAAGTTCATCTGAGGCTTCCAGGCCATAGAAGAGTCTAGTACACACATCAGCTTGTGTTTGCCTGAATGATCCATGGCACAACAGCCACAAAGAATAGATAGCCAGGCTCCAACTCAGAGCTCCAGAGAGTAGCCCTTCTGCTGGCCACATCCATATCAAGACCCCCCTTATCTAATTTCTCCACTCACCTCTTTTCGCTCTTTTAGGTTGGTCACCATGACGATGGTGGCTGTGTTTTGTTCCCAGATCATCCTCCAGAAATCATTTACTGTTTCTTCTTTTGGTCCTAAAGTAGCCAACAGCAAAGATTAAACACACACACACACACACACACACACACACACACACACACAAAAGGGAAGAAAGGTGCTAAGAAATTCGGAAGATCCATTTCTGGCTTTTGAAATCCTATGTCCATGTTTTCAGCTAAATATCCAACCCAGCTACCTAAAAGTTGAATGTTTCCCTTGTAACCACCATGTATGTGCCAGGCACTTGACCATGATTGGAGGCAAGAAGCTGTCAAAACATAACAGAACACAGTGTCTCTCAAGGATATTAAAGTTATGGATTAGAAATCATGACTGCTTACTGAATACCTACATTATGGTCCAGATAGTAGGCTAGATGCTTGATGTGACATTTACTCCTTCCTATCATGCTGAAGTGAACGTTTTCAGCCCCAAAGATGAGTGACTTGTCTAGGCTGGAATTCAAAATTTATAAGAAGATTCTAAACAATTATCAGGTAACAAAGAGAGAAAGAAATGGGACCTAACAGAGACTAATGAAATTCCCAGAGTGTTTGTAAAGGGAAGCTTTAGGAGACTTAGGAGGCTAGAGAGCCTCTGACAACCAATCCAACATGGAGCCAAGGAAGGCTCCAGAAGGAATTTAAATTAATTTTTTTTTTTAAATTAAACCTTGTGTATCTGAAAGTACTGAGAGGAAATATATATACTTCTAATAATGATTTTAGGGGATGCCTAGTGTGTGCAAGGCCCTGGGACTGATCACCAGCATTGCAAAAAAGTTTAGGGGAAAAATTAGAGGTAGGCATATTAAAAAGGTAAATGACTAAGCCTCCTTATATCAAAGAAAACATTTGGCATTTGGTTTTTTGGGATTGGCTAACTTCACTTAGCATTATCTTCTCTAACTCCATCCATTCACCGACAAATGTCATGATTTTATTCTCTTTTATTGCTGAGTAATATTCCATTGTGTGTATATGCCACATTTTTTTTAATCCACTCACCTATTGAAGGGCAACTAGGTTGGTGCTATAGTTTAGCTGTTGTGAATTGTGCTGCTATAAACATTGATGTGGCTGTGTCCCTGTAGTATGCTGTTTTTAAGTCCTTTGGGTACAGACCGAGGAGAGAGATAGCTGGTTCAAACGGTGGTCCAGTCCCAATTTTCCAAGAAATTTCCATACTGCTTTCCATATTGGTTGCACCAATTTGCAGTCCCACCAGCAGTTTATGAGTATACCTTTTTTTGATATAAGGAGGCTTATTCATAGTGGGAGAGGGAACATGGGAGGAATAGTCGAACTCTAGAAAAGGCAGAGGGGTTAGAGGTGAAGGGACGGGGCATGGGGTTAGAAATGATGGTAGAATGTGATGATCATTATTATCCAAAGTACATGTATGAAGTCACAAATTGGTGTGAATATACTTTGTATACAACCAGAGATATGAAAAGTTGTGCTCTATTTATGTAATAAAAATTGTAATGCATTCCACTGTCATGTATAAATAAAAATAAAGAAAGAAAGAATGGGGGCTGGGGTTATAGCTCAGTTGGTAGAGTACTTGCCTCACATGCACAAGGCCCTGGGTTCAATCCCTAGCACCACCCCCCCCTCCAAAAAAAAAAAAGAAAAAAGAAAGGGAGGGAAGGAGGGAGAATAAATGACTATGAAAAAGTGCAATCATTAATTCCCAAAAAAGAAGGGGCAAAATGTACAAAACAACACAGTATTCCACGTTTCAGTTGTGAATATATGTATACTCATGAAAATGGAAGTAACAAATATTACCTTAACTCAAAACTGGGATCCAATTTTATTGGGAAGATGGGGAGAAGGGCACATTGTGCATGGCTGCCTGACTGAGGGAGAGGAGCTTTATAAGGGATTAGAGCACCTACCAGGAGCCAACAGATTAAAAACATTGCCTCAGAGGCATTAGACCACAAAACTAAAGAAGAAAGGGGAGAAAATTGTTGTTGATTTATATTTGTTTATGAGAAAGGACCCTGCTATGTTGTCCAGGCTAGTCTGAAACTAGTGAAGTGATTCTACCACCTCAGTCTCCCCAGTTCTGAGACTGCAAGTATGAGCATAAATTTGTTTGTTTACAAGTTTTACATTCCCTTTGACTTTCTTAAATTCTTTTTCTTTATTTCCTGAATAATCCATGGTACAAAAGCCATGGATATATTTATATATATCCAGTTTTCTTGATTCTTTTCACTTTTTAATTTTTTTCCTTCTCTGCCTTTTATTACTCCAAGTATTCCCTTTAGTAAAAATAAAAACAAATTTTATTTTTCATTTTTTACCTTTTTTTGTGTGTGCTAGGGATTGAACCCAGGGCCTTGAGTGTGCTCTACCACTGAGCAACATCCCCACCCAAAATGAAATAGTCTGAACTAAGAGGTGGCTGTATACAGAGGGAGGGAAAGCAGAGCCTTGTCAGGCAATAGGTAGGCCCCAGGGGAGGCTGCTGTAACAAGGAGTTTCTGAGGCTTTCCCTGACTACCTTATTTCATTGCTACATCTGTTTTAGTTTGTATCTTTTTTATCATCTGATAGAACTTTCTGCAATTATGGAAATGTTTTATATCTGCACTAACACAGTAGCCTCTAGCAACATGTAGCTATTGAGCCTTAAAACAAAAGATCAATAAGTCTTAGTACACAATCAAGAAACAAACTTTAAATTTTATTAATTAAAATTTAATGTAATGTGGGTTTTTTTTTTTTTTTTTTTTGAGGTGCTGGAAATGGAACTTAGAACCTCACACAATAGGCAAGCTATATCAAACTTAAAATTTAATCTTAAATGGCCACATGTGGCTAAGTGGCCATTATAATGAACAGCATAGTCACTTATTCACATTTCTGTTAATATGTTTACTTGCCGCAAACTTTACCAACTAAATGCTCCAAAAAGGCAGAGACTTTATATTGTTTCATTCCCTCCATAGCCCCATCACTTAGGCCAGTGTCTATTATATAAGATATGGTCAATAAATAACTGAATAAGTCAGTGGACCACATTAACATCAATTACTCACTCCCCCACCCCCCACCCCCCGCTTTTTTTTTAAACCCTTGGTACTGTGGATTGAACTTAGGGGCACTTTACCATTGAGCTACACTCCCAGTTCTTTTATTATTGTTATATTTTTAAATTTTGAAATAGGGTCTACATTGCTAAGGGTCACTAAGTTGCCCATGCTGAACTTGTGATATTCTTGCCTCAGCCTCCCAAGCTGCTGGGATTACAGGTGTGTACCACAGTGCCTGGGCAAAAGAACCTCTTTTAAAGGATCCCTGGATATCAAGTCATCAAGATGAATGAAAGCCCTTAGTTGTAACCTGTGAGGTGGGTTTCATTTCTTTTAAATAGTAATAAAACTACAGAAAAGCTACTGCATTCTCGCTAATCCATTCAGTCTTTGGAATAGGGGAAACCCCAAATCCACTGGAGATCACGGTTAAGACCAAGAATAAAATGTTGTCATTACTTTACCTTGTGCAGCAATGAATTTGTTTTTTTCCTGGTAGCCCTGGGAGGCGGGAGAATAAAGTGAGAACAAAAAGTTAATAGGAATGAAATTCTCTAGTCTAACCCTGAACCAGTTAACAAGGCCTTCCTTGTGAAAAGGTCCAGGCAATTAATGAGAATTTCCATTACAGAAATTCCCAAGAGATTAGCTTTGAGGATAAAAACAAGATTACAAACTGCAAACAGTATAAGTAGTCTTTTCAAAAAATTATTAGGGAATACTGGTATAAGGATATTAAAATAACAACTCCTAGGCTAGACTATGTTTCTGATGTTTTATCAGCAGCCCATAATGTATGTTTTAGTGTTACTGGGTAAGAACCTTCCAAGACAGAAGCATATGAGGTAATTGCAGGGATGAAGCTGGGCCTACTCTGAGAAGAACAAAGGGTTGTTTTATTTCTTTACGTAGCTATGGGGGGGGGGGGTCTCACTATATTGCTCAGGTCTGAAACTCCTGGGCTCAAGTAGAAACTCTCACCTCAGCCTCCCAAGTAGCTGGGAATAGACTCATATCACCATGCCCTAGCTTATTATTACTTTTTTTGAGGGTGTTTTACCCAATGCAAAACATTCTGGGAATAGCTCCAAGTGTTTTGAGAATAGGTTTCCCAAGAAAGGCAGTGGGAGACAAGAAGCAAAGGAGCCTGGAGAGGCCACTCAACAGATAAGGAACCTCTGAAAAACTAAAACTGCATTAACTTTCTTCTTTTAGTCCTTACTGTTCCAGTTACAACTTTCAACCTAATAACTTACATATGGTACTCACTTGAGAAGTCATAGGAAAGTGAAAAATCATTTTAAGGGCTGTGAATCACCCTCTTCCCCTTTTAGACAGCAATACAATGGGCAGTGAAGGAGGAAGTTTCGATGGGATGCCAGGTCATACCAAGGTAATGATATGAAACACAAGTCTACAAGTCAGAGGCCAAATAGAAGAAGGGGCCTAAATCTGAGAAGCCATTTTCTATTCCAGTTTAAACAAGGGCAGCATAGATGTGCTTCTGAACACAGAAGGAGAAAGCATTATAACTCAGAGATGGACATATGCAGAGTCAGCAATAGGAAGCCTATTAAAATTTGTACTGAGAAGAATTTAAGTTTGGGCAAATGTTTCTAATCACTGGAAGATAAAAACTGAGATATATTTTTAAAATATTTGGTCTTTTAAAAAAAATCAGACTTAAGGAAAAATGGCAAATATCCCTCCTAACATACAGCTGGGAAAAAACCCAACAGATGGTAGACAATGGTCTTTCAGGGAGATAAATGAGAAAAGCATGAGTTCCTTACATTGATGAATGAAGCATTGATGTAATCAGAATCCGGAACCCCTTCAACAGGTGTCAGGTGGACTCTAGAGTGGTCATCTAGGAAAAATCCAACAATTACTATTCCAGTAAATCCAATTTTATTTCTCTCTGATGCAATTGTTTAGGTCAGCTGAGACATCTGCAGTCTTATGTGTACTGAAATACTGATGTATAAAGATGTCATTCCAACATATTTTTAAGATCCCAAATTCTTAAACACAACTATCATCAGGGAATACATACTCACATATACCCACTGTATGAAATACTAACCAATTGATAAAAAGGAAATTGTTTGACAGATGAACTGATAATATATAAGGTAAAAAGAAAAAAGAAAGGGGTTTGGGGATCTAGCTCAGTGGTATAACATTTGCCTCATGTACAGGAAGCCCTGGGTTCAATCCCCAGCACCATCCCCCTTCCACGCCCCCCCCCCCCCGCAAAAAGTTCAATGTGTACAATATACCAATTATATTTTTAAAATATATAGCAAATACATTTATGTATATACATATATAAGTATACAAATAAGTGGCTGTAAATGTCTAGTAGAGTGGTCTTAATTTTTTGGGTCCCATATGTAACCAATAAAAATTTAAGCATGCATCTCCAACATATGTTCATTTACTGATAAATTATGCATAAAAGCTAACATAACTATGACCCTAAAATATAAAAATTTTAGAAGGATAAATTTTTTAAAAAGCAATATAAAATCAAGTTCAAATATTTTCCTCTTATACCTGCCTGGATTATGCATGTTCCATTCTGGAGACTACTGGGCTACAAAAATATTTTTAGATTGTAGATCAACTGATGAGCAAAGACTAACTCTGGGAAGGGGTATAAAGAAAACTCTGTATTGGAATTTCTTTCAATGAGCATTACAATAAAACAACACCCCAATAACCTACTTCCTGTCTGGTCCTATTAAACTTTTCTCTCTGGCCTCCTAAAACTTTAAGTCTGCAACAAAAATCTTGATGAACCAGCCCAAGTGACCCTGTGGGGTGGCAAGAGAAGCCATGTAATGGATTTTTCAGCCTGAAGTCTTGACCCTAGTCTAGCTATCACCCTCCCGTGATTCTTTCCATCCTCAGAAAATCTGGTCAGAGATTAATTTCAGGTCATAATCCCCCCCAACACCAAACCCAACAAACACTCACAAGGCAAGATGTTTACATAACGATTTTTTTCCTTGTTTTCCTCTTTGGAGGCAGCCTCACAGGTGGCCTGGATAGGACAAGCAGGGAGAGCCTGAAAAGGTAAGAGAAATTAGAGGACTTTAAAAAGGGATAAACAGTAAACGTACAGACTCTCACCAAACCTGACCTGGCAGCAAGTTCTACCTTTACTCTGGGGATGAGGCCTAGACTCAGGTGAATACTTACAGTCTAACAGAGAGAATGCTCCTCTCCTCTAAACAACTGCAAGCCCCTCAGAATTAATACCAAGAATCCCCAGGAGGTGAAGTGCCATTCCTGCTACTATAAGCATAGCATACTTTTTTTATGATACTATTTGATTAGGGCCTGTTACAATGCTGGGTCGAAATAAACCACCTTGTAATAGTAATGGGGTACATAACAGAAAAAAATGGGCCATTCATCCTCATGCATCTCAGTGAACCCAACAAGAGGGCTGATTTAGGCTCTCTTTAGGTCTCTCATAGAGGGGCATGGCACCCCATCCTATAGCATCATGAAGCAAGAAAGCAAGGACTAATCGGTGGGAGGGAGGGCATTCACATGGATGTAGCAGCTGGGAAGTAGAGTTGGGTAAAGTGGCACTGTTGCAGCAGTTTTAGAGCAAATGTAATTTAGATAGCACAGGGAGGTATGTGGGCAAGCATAAAATGTTTTGACACAAGACAGCTTAGGTTGTATCAGCTTGAGTAAGCCTGTTAACCTTTCTAGGCTCAAGTTTCTTCATATGTGACCCTGCGATAATTACACCTGCCACAAGAATAAATGAGATAATCTTACATGTGGCACAAAATAAGCATTCAATAAATGAGTTTTACAAGAGTGGGAAGCTAAATTTTATTCAAACAGTTCGATTCTTATGTTCTATTTATTTAAAACTAAGAAAACAAAAAGGGAAAATAGTTTAAAATTCCAACCTAGACAATCTTTCTGAGAAGTGATTTGAAAGTATATTTTATTAGCCTTGAAAAGAGTCATAATCTTTTGACCTAGTAATTTAACTTCTCAGAATTTAATCTGAGGAAATAAAAATCTCTATGTTCAAATCATTTACTTAATCATTACTCAGAATAACCCAAAACTGAGAACAACCTTAGTATTCAGCAGTAGGAGAATATAATTAGTAAATTATGGTTCATGTATTATTTTTCTTTCATTTTTTCAACAAATAAATATTGTGTACCTGTTAGGCTAGGTACAGAGCAAACAGTGGTGGATCAAGCATATACACAATATAAACTTGTGGGTGAAAGACAGACATTAAACAGATAAAACAAATATATAATTACACATCATGATAAATACTATGAAAGAACAGGACACTATTAGAGATAAAGTATCAGAAAGGGCCATATTTAGATTAAGGGTAGGTGTTCATAAGGAAGGATGAGTGTGGAAGACAGTATTCCAGGCACAGCGAACAGCACTTGTGATGACCCAAAGGCAGGAGAAGGCTTGCCTGTGTGAGGAACTAAAGGTCAGTGAAGGTGTCACACACTTGGTGAGGTTGGTGGCGATAACAGTAGGAATGGGAGGAGATCGAACTTAAGGTCAGATTATTCATTTACATGTAGGTCTGTGAATAAAGTTTGGATTTCAAGTGTGAGGAAACTACTGAAGGTTTTAAAAATGTGACTCAATTTACTCACTCCAATTGCTACGTGGAAAATAACCGTGTAGAGACAAGAATTGAAGCATGAAGTGGAGGCAGGGAAAGATAGAACAGGGAGATGGAATCATTTAAGGTATACTCTAGAGTTAGAATTACTAGATTTGTTGACAGAAGGAAAATTGCCCAAGTAGAGAAAGCCAGGAATGAAAAATGACTTTTAGATTTCTGGCTTTATACAAAAAAAAAAAAAAAAGATAAAATAAAAAATGAAGGAAATGCCAGCCCAATGAGAACCAATTTTGCCAGAGGGAAACAAGTGCTTTAAGAAGGAACAAATATAACCACCATGATAGTAGTAGAAAAAATTAAACTGAAAGACCTCAAAATAAGGGAAATCAGAGTCTCATAATCCATCTGACTTCAATTACTCAAGGGATTTTCTTTTCAGAGTTAAAATTCTGGAAGTTATGCATGTCATTTTACTAAGGGGGCAATTCCCTTTGCCCCAATTCTGTCAATACATGAAAGGGAGAAAGTTTCCTGGGCTGGACTCTTGTACATGGAACAGAGACCATACTAAAGACTGGAATTTCCTAAATCACCCATAGTTTGCCTTCTCTTCCTTCTCATAGATTTCCATAGGTTTCCATCCTGGTTTAAATCAGGATGAAACACCAATTTTTTAAGCCCTCAATACCAATATGGAGCATACTCTTTCTCTAAAATTCCTGTATACCCCTTCTCTAAGTGATGTAATTTAGAAATAGTAAGAGCAAGACTCTTGAAAATAGTCTTCAGTACTGAAGGGTCAGAATAACAATAATCATCACCTCACAGTCCTATTGGAATCCCTTACTCCCCTAGTCATGATGAAGAAAAACTAGGTCTCCAGGTGGGCTAAGGCTCCTAAGAGGAAAGTTAGGAAGAACAGGAACCACTGTTTAGCAAGAGAAAAGACAGGGCTTGCCTCGGAGAACAGTGTTAGCTGCAAGATTCAGGCTGAAGAGCCTAAGCTGGGGATGAAAATAAGGGGAATCCTACTGCTTTTAGTGTCTACTTTTAAAAACATAGCCCACATAGGTAGGGAAGGAGCAGCTGAATCACAAGCCTGCAGGATGTTATATTCTCTGAACAGTAGGTGGCATCAAGCACCATTTCATCTCTTGCTCAAGCCTTAACTATATCCAAGGCTAAATCCTCATTTTTTAAAAAAACATGCCAGTTTTTTAAAAAATTGTTTTTCTAATTCAATTATTTTTAAAACATGTGCCTAACATTCAATTAGAAGTTCTCTTTGGATTCCTATGTCCTCTTCCTTCCCCTTGCATAGGTAAACTTGGAATTATATGTTTATCATTACACTGCTTTAATATATGTGAACCCCATATACTTTGCCTCCTTAAATAATATATTACTATTGTTCAGTCTATTTTTTATAAAAATAAAATGATAATCAAGTAAGTGACTTGCTTTTTTCCCCCCTTGGCTCAACATCATGTTAAGATTTTTCCAGGTGGTCATATGTAGCTGAAGTTCATTCCCTTTACTTTGTAGTGCTCCATTTTGTAACTATACCAAAATTTATTATTCTGTCCTACTACTGATGAATATTTGGGTTGTTAACAGTTAACAAACAGTCCTGCTCTAAGCATGAATTTCTATGTTTTTTCTACAAGCAATCAAGAATTTTTGGGCATGAGTATCTTTAACCTTAACAGATAAGACCAGACTGTTTCTTACTGTATTTATACTCCCACCAACAATATAAAGTGGTCTTGTTGATATGTATCTTCATCAATATTTACTAAGGTCAGAAATTTATTAAACACAGTTTTATTTATGTTTCTCTGATTATTGAGGGTCATCATCCTTCCTCAGTTTATTGGTCAAAACTGATTCTCCTTCCATGAAGTACCTAGTCTAGAGTTTTTCCCAACATTCTACTGGATTATTTTCTTTACAGTTTGAAGGAGTTCTTTAAATAGTCTGGATACTTATTCATCCTTTTTACCAAGTTTGTGGCTTGCCTCTCATTTTCTTCATGGTATCTATTTATGAACAGAATTTTTGAAACCTTATATAGTCAAATTCATCAAATTTTCCCTATATCAACATTTTTTTTTTTTTTGGTAGTGTGGGGAACAAAAGCACAGTCTTGCAAATGCTAGGCATGTGCTCTACCTGAGCTATACCTCTCAACCTCCTTTATGCATATTTTAAGACTTTAGAAATTCTTTCCTACTGTGAGGTCATATTTTCCTACACTATGGTCTCTATATTTTCTAGTACTGTCCTTTAAATCTCAATGTTTACACCAACTGGGATCAGTGTTTGTGTCTAGGATGAGACAAACATTCATTTCACATACTCCCAGAGGATTGCCCAATTGTCCCAGCACTATTTCTGAAAAGTCCATCCTTTCCCCGACCAAGACAGCAGCAGCATTTCTATCATAAATAGGTTTCCATTTACACATGGATCTGCTTCTGGGCTCTCTATTTTATTCCACTGATCAATCAGATCTATCCCAGTGCCAATATAAAACTGTCTTACTTATTAAAATTTTATAATAACTCTTTATATCTGGTAAGGCAGGTCTCCTCACCTTGTTCTTCTTCTTCGGGAATGTCTTGGCTATTCTTGGATCTTTTCTCCTCCATATAAATTTTAGAATCAGCTTGTCAAGTTCCACAAAAAACCTGTTGGGATTTTTATTGGAATTGCATTGAATCTATGCATCAGTTGGGGAGAATTGACATCTTTACAAAATTGAGCCTTCTAATCCATTGATCCTATCTCTTCACTAACTTAAGCCATTTTCCTTTAATGTCTTCAAACATTTTTATAATTTTCTCTAAAGCTTTTATAAATATTTTGTTAAATTTATGCCTAAGTACTTTACTTTTCAGATGCTATTGCAAATGGTATATTTTAAAAAGTTACTAATTTTTTCTGTTTGTAGCCTATGTATAAAAATGCCTTTTTTTCAAGCTGCTTCTATATCCAGCAACCTTGCTAAAATAACTAATTCTAATAATTTATCTAATGAGTCTTTAGACTTTTCTGAAGACAATATTCTCTTGAGTGAAAAAATTCCTATTTTGTCTCTACTTTTGCAATTCTCACGCCTGACATTTTTTTCTTGCTTTGCTGGGCTGCCTAGGATTTCCAGAACATATTGACTCTCATTCACTTTTAGGTTTGAATCCCCTTTTACATACTCTCTCCTAATAGTCACCAGTGCCCAAACACTCTGGGATTTTACTAACTTTCAAGGCAGCTCTTAAAACGAAGGACACAACATCCAGATACACAATTTCTTTTGAATTTCCCCTTGTACTAACTAGTGTAAACTAAGATGTCAGCTGGTGCTTTCTCTGCCCCTTGCAAAATTGGAAGCCCCTGCTTCCTGGAACACTGAGTTCCAAAGCCCTTGTCAC